ATGAATTATGGTAGTTTCCCATAAATTTAAATTCTCTTGTAAACTGTATTTTAATGGTAAAATGCTGCCACCACAGCCGGCAGTTTTATCTACCTTAGTTTTATGGATTGTGTAGGGCTGTTTGAGAGAGTTCCCTGTGAGGACACGAGCACACGATAGATAAACACCTCACCGTGCGCTCACACATAAGCAACGCGCATGCTTCATCTCAGCGCCAACCAAAACTGAAACCAACTAGACGGAGGCACAGAGAATAAAGTTTGTTCTGACAGAACAAACACAAACACTAGTACAAGAGCGCGCGCGTCTGAGGGACGCAGAGCGTGCGCGGCCACATCAAGGACCAGACATGAGTAGTGTCAGAGCTCTGCCACCAAAACAAGAATTTACAAGACCAAAGTGGCAGAGCTCTGACAATTACAGTTTTTTAAAATATCAACGTGCCAAAACACGCCAGCTTTTTTTAGAGCAGAACGCCTATGGGCGCACATATGAGCGCAAATGCATTTTCTAGTAGTGGAAAACATCAAAATGACTCTTGCGCCGAACTGAAACTAGCAAACAACTATTACGTCTATTGGGTGTTTGATAGGGGCCCAGAGAGTCACTTATAACGCATACATTCGGCATACAAACAAGCTTAAAACATGCCTGAAAATGGCTCCTTCTGCTGTTGTGTGTTAAATGGACCAAATAAAATCTTGGGTTTCCAGATGAAATTAATGTCGGACGGCTGTCAGTTGTGATCGTGTCATAATTATTTGTTTTTCTGCATTTGATCAGATTCTGGCGTCCTATAAAGCGCTGATGGAGAGACTGCTGAGCATGCTGGGAGCTCACAACGCCACGCTCAAATCCCGAGAGATTCTGGATCTGGAGACCAAACTGGCAAACGTACGTTTGTGTCCTCGCTTTGTCAGCGATTGAAAAAAAATATTTGCTCCTTTTAAAAACTTTGCAACAGTTGATTTGTTGAAATATTTAATTTCAGTATTAATTAATAAGCAAAAATGAACCTCTTTGCACGTCTCCTCTGGTCCCCAGCACTGCTGTTGAATCCACTGTTCAGATGTATGCTGAGAGTTTAGTAGTCAGGTTTTTGCTCCTGTGTGGAGCACTAGTCTCCTTCTGTTGTGTTCTGATGTGATTTCTGACTGCTGTAGCTGTGAAATAACTCTAATCATTCAGCGGAGTGATATGAAGCTGTACTGCGCTCTAAACCTGCCGGAACTCCTTTAGCTGTGTCTTTATCTGACAATAACCAAACACCTGAGAGTGACCATCAGCCAATCAGAATCAAGAGTTCAGCAGATCAGTGGTATAATGTTAGGCCGCGTTTACACTGCGCTGTTCAAGTGACTCAATTCCGAATAGTTTCTCCAGTCATGTGGCACAGATGGGATACGGCCCATGTACGTGTAAGCAGGAACAAATCACTTGCATTCCGATTTACTCAAATCAGATTCAGGCCTTGTTCATGTGTGGAAGTTTATCTGATATGAATGGGATCTGTGTCCTCGTGTCTGCAGTGTAAGCAGGTAGATCGCATTTTCACCTGTCACGAGTCGTGCGTCATTAAAAACCGTAGCCAATGACGTCAAGTCTGACACTTTCATTACAGAACAGACTTCAGCAGAGTCCCAAACCTTAAATCTCAAGCATGAGGACTCAAACAGCTCTCATATGGTCATATAGCGCAGGTATTAGAGCATGTTAACGAGAGCGCAATGTCCACCACATATCCAATATAAACTAATATAAAACTAGTGCAGCTACATCACATGCATACATCACGCCATGGACATTACATTAAGACGCCTAAAGGTTTACAAAAGCCGATATATCATAAGAAGATGGACAAATGAGAAGCTTTCTGTCATAAACTAGAGCAAAACAGATTACATACAGGAACAGAGAAAAGAGCACTCTTTAATTATCCGCTGTTAGTCAGCGCCCGCTCTTTTTTCCTGGTCACTGCGCCTTTGCCGTGTGCTGTGTAAATGCAGACGATTGGATACGAGTCACTTTTTAAAGACGATGTAAGCAGGTCAACAAATAATCGGATACAGTCACAAAATCGGAATTGACCATCTAGATCCGCAGTGTAAATGTGATATGGAGCTGTAATGCGCTCTAAACCTGCCGGAACTACTTTAGCTGTGCCTTAATCTGACAATAACCAAACACCTGAGAGTGACCAGCAGCCAATCAGAGTTGTAATGTAAATTTTTTACAACTGTTGAGTTCACATCTGTGTAAACGTTGAGTTCAGAGTGTTGGGATGATTGTCTTATAGGTGCTCTGTGACTCTTCTGCATCATAAAACAGCATCATATGTGTGCAGATATTCAGAAACATGCTCAGGGAACATTCTTGTTTATCTTGTTTTTGTAATATTTTGTTTTATTTAACATGTTTTATAAGATATTTAACAAAGACAGTACAATACCAATAAAAAGAAGAAAAAATAAAATAATGCAAGAGAGTTGACATTAGCCCC